TGGTTTTCCCGACATGGCCTGAAAAAGAATTATCCCCAAGTTTTCAGTCAGTCTGACGTCTCCAAGGAAGAAAGAAAAACACTCCTAGGTCCCCACCCATTTTCCTTCGGCACATATTTCTGATAATATAAATTTACTATCGCAGGAAAAAGTTTGTTTTGTCGAAAAGAATTTAGTTAGCGAGACTGCTTGTGTGGGATTTTAATTTTCCATATCTAACTAAGGCTCTGTAGCTACACCTGTGTTTTGCCAATTATCAAAATTAACGTTTTCAAGTGGACTTTCTTTGGCGAACATTTCTTGATAACACAATTCCATTCGCGCAGGCCAAGTAGTAAAATCGGTCAACGATTACTCGTAGGTGGCCTTTAATTTTCATATCTGTCCAAAGTCTTTTTTAGTCGCCTGTTTCTTTTCGTCCCTTATTGAAATAACATTTTCACTTGAATTTTTCCCTTGGCCGGTGGTCTGTGTTGATAATAAGATGCCTTCCCGTACCAATAGTTTTTTTCATATCCTTAGATAACACTTCCCTACTCACTCAAATCTCATTGTAATGACACTCTTTCGCCATTTGCCACTTATCAAAATAACCCTTTTTTTATTGCCTCTTAGCCGTGTGTGTGTGCGCTTATCACCTATGATTCGGATCTCGACACACTTTTCCCTTGATTTCTTCTTTTCTTTCGTTTCCCTTTCTGACTTTCTTTCTCTGCCTGGATGCATGGTGCCACACCTTTAATGGAGTGCCCTTTGCCGTGCTGATGTTGATACATGCCTTACTTCTTGCCTATCTCACACTGCGAATTTTTTCTAAGTTTTATACTAAACATTAAATCTGTTACTAAAAGAACTAAACAAAATGAACACAAAACGATCAGCTTTAAAAAGGACTCGTAACTGGAAAAACCGAATGAAAAAAGAATGTTAACAACAAATACTTTTTCACACCCAACCCAGTTCTGCGGAATCATAATCAACGTTGAGTTTAAGCAAGCGAATGAGCCAACTGGAGTAAAGTGCCATGCAGATTTAAATATTTCCTACTTGTGACGAATGCTAGCATGTTAGTTAACATTCGTGTCAGTCAGCTGTTGGCTCTCACACTGGCCAATTGAATCTTCCTGCTTATTCGTGGCAGCTAGCTATAGGCTCTCACACTGGCCAGTACAAAATGGCCGCAAACTACATGAAAACTGCCGTAGAAGCATGAAAAAATCGATTATTTCCACTATCGATGGGAGTTGGGAAATGCAAAGTCGGTCTTGGCCTTCCCACTAACTTGGAGCATGTGCATGCAAATTTTGGTGCAAATCCGTCGAAAATTGCGGCCGTGCATTCGTTACACACACACACACACACACACTCACAAACACACACACACATCCTGCCTTTTAAAGATAGGGATACAAATATACATCTCTTCAGATCGAAGTTTAATAAATGGAGCCAAACTGTTCTCTTACCCTTTTAATATAAATTTTTCCCTTTCCTCTTTTCTTTCATTTTTATTCTCTCCCTCTTCCTTTTATCGGTCTGAAGAGATGAATATTTTTTATATTCTTAAAATAAATTATAACCGAAACTTTGCTTTACAGCAAAGCCTCGTCCGGGTTCCTCTCTGCCCTAAAATAAGTTAGACAGCAGCTGCGAATCGTCACAGCAAAGTAGAACAATCTATTCACTGTTATATTTAACAGCCTTTTCCCCCACAAGGAATATATGTGTCACAAGGGCGAGTTTACCGTGGGTTCTCCGAGTTCGTAGCCTCGTCCCAAAATATTCCATTAGAACCCGCATAAACGGGTTCAGGGCCTGTCTACCACCCCGGAAGAAATTTTACCATTCGGCAAGGCCTTGTCCGAGTTCCTCTCTGCTGGAGGCAGAGTTCGACATTTGAACAATGTATCCACTGTTATATTTAACGCCCCACTCCACGTGGGTCTTATGTGTTACAAGGCCGAGTTTATCGTGGGAAAATCTATTCACTGTTCCCCGAAGCCTTCTCTCCTACAAATCTTTTAGTAGGCGGAAGAGTCTCTTTAGTGGGAGGACACCGCAACACATTCAAAATTTATGCTCTTATTAAAGTATATAATATAATATAAAATATTTTCCTGGACGAATTTGAATTGGATCAAAATGTCTGCAGAAAGTAAGATACTTAAAAATAACTTGACATATATTGGCATATATAAACGTGGTTTGACAATTAAATTCCTGGAATAATATATGTAATGCTGGTGGGACTATTATTGCCAGAACGACAAATGTTTGTGAGGGAGCGTGTCCGGATATGTGGCAAGTTTGGTTTTCTTGAAACGCAGACACGATGAGTTATTCATTGCCGTGTTGGAGAAGTTGTACATGTTTTCATGAGAAATATATTGGAGAAAAAAGAGCGATAATTTGTATTTACTCACCCACAACCCCACGAGGTAAGGTTGTGACACAAGGTCGGTTTAATGTGGGGACCTGGGCTAAGGAAGAAAAATTATCCGCAGCCCTCGCAACCGTTGGTTGCACTAGCCTCGATGCGAGAACCGATCACGATCCCTCTGGTGCAATAAGAAGGAGCGGCTTCCGGCAACTGTTCCCCAGGGTACCTCTCGGTATAATTTTCCTCGGTTGCGACTCTGTCCTTTGACGGGGTCGCCGCTGAGCGCACTCTGCCTAAAGACAGAGACGCAACTGAGAGTTGATAAATAATCTGTTACAAACCACTCATGAGAGCGATTTACAGACTAAGATCGATAATTACCTTTCCAAAAGAATCTCAAATGCAGGCACGAAAACAAAATCAAATTACGCTACCTTTAGCGATGACTTGCGGCTCGTAGCCGAGTATGTCTGCCTAATGGCACGGATAGTCGAGATTTGTTACAGATATTCTCGGGCACCTCTGTCTAGTTCAACGCATTCAGAGCCCAACCGTGGAACAAGGCTAGTCACGTTCAAAACCTCGGTCACGACGACTTGCTAGCACGGCCATCAACAGTGCCTAACTAGTTTCGCCTGACCAATTTCACTCGCAAGACTCGTATCAACCCGTGGCATAATTATCAGACACTTTCCAAGGGCGCCACACGCTGGGATCGCCAGCCTAGGCCGATTAGATCAAAACGTCAACTTCTAGATACACTGACTACGATGTCGTACCTGGTGTTTATGTTCGGTTAGTAAACGTTCTAAGGACTCGCTCACACGCTGCCTACATCCCCATTTTTTGCTAAAATGAAACGGCAATACCCAAATCTAATAAACCTTATTCTGTATGTGACGATTTAGAACCAAAGAAAGAAATAGCTAAATCTTCTGGCCTGTGGAACTCCCCCACCTTTTCCTGTTACCCTGATAGCTATAATCTCCAACTATTCAAGTGTAATGTCAATCGACGTCTCCAGATGCCTTGATCTATTCCCTAACCTTCTCTTCATCCTTTCCTCTATCACTCCTATTTGCTCTATCTCCAAGTCTCTGTATCTCCTTGCGTGCTAGTGGCTTCCCGCCTTGCTTGGGGTGAAACGCTTAAAAAAAATTAAAACAGGAAATATGACATAAATAGGTAAATAATCTTTATCACCATAATTAACACTAACCTTTATATACACACTTCCTCCAACCACCCAACCAGCATAGACACAAAGGCAAGAACTAATGGATATATTATACTTTTTATAACTTAAGTTCTCTTCATTGGTAGAGGGTTATTAGATGGGGTTGTTATAAATGGGATAAAGTGAGGGGGTAAAATATACGTAAATATAAGTAATACTGACTGAAACCATCCACATGAATGCACTGGAAATGAATTTGAAATTCGAAAAATGCTGATGCATGTTACCC